ATAGTTTGTCAATATAAATACTGTGTGTGTGTGTGTGTGTGTGTGTGTGTGTGTGTGTGTGTGTGTGTATATATATATGTTTGTTAGGTTCACTCACACAAACTCCTGGGGATTCTGGGAGAACAAAGCAGCTGTGTGCAAAAAGGGCTCACAGCTGTGGCCTGTGAGGAAAGAGAGGTGGCTGTGTCAGCGCTCCCTGTGTGCCTTTAAGTCCCTTCCGGTATCTGGGTCTCAGTTTCCCCATAAGGGGTTTGATCTGGAAAGGAGCTCTCAGGAAAGTCCTAGCTCTGCCATTTCCTGGCCTCTGACCTCTCAGGTTCTACTGAACAGGCATGAGGGCAGCAAGGGAGGCCACCAGCCAGTCCCCCCTGAGAACAAGGGCTCTTCCCCGCAGAATCCAGCTGGCGGAAAGGCCCTGGTGCAGGGTGGCTTCCACGGTCTCGGCTGCTCCTGGTACCCTGGAAGCAAAGGAGCCACCTGGAGCTCCTCCCTAGGGCCCTGGTCGGAAGCCAGGTCTTTACCCACTGCTCCTGCGGAGGCTGAGAGAGACCAGCCCACGGGGCCACAGGGGTAGGTAAGGGCTGAGGGCGCACACCTCTTCTACTTCGGCTTTGGGAGGTGTTTATCATGGGTCTATTTTGCCCAGCCCCCAGTCCAGGTGGGACTGGGGCTGGGGGAGGCAGACTGGGATTGAGGCCTCAAGATAACTCTGATGAGGATGTTTAGGAACTCTGTAAAAGGCCAGCTTTGGTCAGTGACGATGGGAACAGCCAGGGCTTGGGGGCCACTCTCAAAGCAAGAAGGATCCCTGGGAAGCCCAGCCCCGGAGTCCAACTGCCCACTCCACACCTCGTGAGAGAAGCAACAGCTACCACTTATTGGTGCCAGGCATTCAACACTTGTTTAAAAACTATGGATGAGTGAACAAATGGAAGGCTAAGTTTAGTACCCAAGCTTTTAATCCGTGTATCCTCCATTCTGCCTCTCACATCACCACACAAGAACTTTAAGAGCTAACCAGGCACCTAAAGGCCAGTCTAGAATGTGAGGTCCCTGGGAGCAGGAACCTTGACCATCCTGTTCATCACTGTACCCTAGTGCCCAGATTGCTGACTGGCATATAGTAGGTGCTCAGTAAATATTCTCTGAATAATTGAAGAAATCTAATCCCACTCCTCATTACCCAGACAGGGAAGTCGAGGCCCAAAGAGGCAGGGACCTGCTTGCAGCTGGTCAAAAAGTCACGGTAGACCTGGGACAGGCCCTGGGCTCCAGCCTCTCAGCACAGGGCTCTTTCCCCTGTATCAAAAGGCCCCCGTGGCAAACTCCTCCTGCCCTTCCCTATCCCTTCACGAATTCCTTATTCCCCGCACCCCCAGCTTTCCCTCTTTCCTTTCTCTTTGCCAGCTGGATAATTAACCACTGGAAACAAAACCTGTAATTACTGTCCTCCCCATGCCCTTAAATCGCTTTCAGTTTGGGCTCCATGACCCCCGTCCTGAGTGGGGGTTGGTCTCCCCCTCAGCAGCCTCCCAAAGGGGGAGTCAACCTAACAAGCACCAGCTGAGGCCCCAGCCCCCCAGATCCAATGGCCAGCTGTACAGGAGGCCGGCAGCAGATGGGCGAGGAGGGTCCCCTGGCAGGCTGGGGCTGACTCAGCTGGGGTGTCAGTGGGACTGTGACGTGCCCGGGCAGGACAGGAGGCCAGGCAGGCGGGCCGGATTTCCGAGAGTGATTGATGCCAGGTGGCCAAAGGGCCGCTGGCTCAGCAGGGACCAACTTAGGATGGTCCCAGTAGAGCCAGGCCTTTTCTTGGGTTCTTCAGCTCACCCTCATGCCCCTGCCTAGAGGGTGCCAGGCCATCCACATCCCTGGTGCCTCCGGGAGGCCTCCTGGGAGCTTAAAATGGATCAGCGCAATAAGTCCCAAGAGCCCTGGCCTTCCAGCTCCACAAGGCCTATACCTTCAGGGAAACTGAGGCCTGGTTAGCACCTGCTCAACTTGGCTTCGTTGGTGATCTGGGCTCAGCCTGTGCAGGAAGCGAGGCAGCTCCACCCTCACCTGGGAAGCATCCTCTATCCCTGACTCACCAGGAGTTTGGGCCCAGCTGAGACAGGAAGGAGAGCTGAGGGTGGGGCCCGTCTGGGGCCCTACCACAGGAGGCTCACAACCCCTGCCTCCAGCTAGCTAAGCTTGTTCCGTTCCTGACCCACACAGAGGCTAAGGGAATGGCGGGGGGGGGGGGAATGGCTCCCGTTCTTCAAGAGCCCCAAGGAAGCACGCTTGCTCAGTCCCACCCAAGACGGGGCAAGGAGCAGGGCGGTGGGCCGGAGGAGAATCACCCTCTAGCAACTTCTGTTTGCTCATGGTAGAGTAAAAAGACCTGGACTTAAAGCCTCGTGCTTGCGCTCACTTGATGTGTGTTCTTGGACAAGTCACCGCCCCTTGCAGTGGGTCTGTTTCCTCACCTCAAATATGGGGCAAAGAATTCCCCACCGTCCACCCTCACAGGGAAGTTTATGAAAGTCAATGAGATAACATGTGTAAAAGTGTTTTTATTTTTAACTGGCAGGCACTGGCCGGGTGAAGGACACTGCCACAAGGGGCTACTGAGCAGTGCTGTGTGGCCGGCACAGCAGACACGGAGCTCAGACCAGCAGCAGCCACGGTGCCCAGGCCAGGGCAAGTGACAACAGCAGTCACAAACCTTCTGGGCTGTTGGAGAGGCTGCCCTATACTCTGCTTTGCCGTCTCCCAGAGATTTCACTTCACACTCCTCACAGCTACTCCCGAGGGGCCCCCAGAAACTCGATCCTCTACTGAGAGGGTGGGGGCAGCCGCGTCCTGGGCTGGGCGGGGGACCACCCAAGGACACTCATTGGTGATGTGTGGGAAGGGCTCTACCCAACCCAGATCAGGCTCCCCCTCAGTTAGAGACATCAATCTGGCCTGAACCAGCCCTGAGTAGAGACCCCTGGCCCAGGCAGGGGCCCCCGCTCTGGGCAGGCAGTCAAGCAGCAGAGGCCCCATCTGATCCAGGCACTTCCTTTGGTTAATGAGAAACCAAATAAACAGCCTCTGCCCCAGCTGGCTTCGGGAGCACCCCAGCCGGGCCCAGCCCTGCCTGCTCCAGCCAGCCTCCCTCCCTTTCACCCTGCAGGTCCCGTGACTTTCCTCCCTTGCCTCCTCCATGCGCTTCCCACTTCCCTCACAGCCCTGCCTGCTCCTTGGCTGGTGCGCTGGGGCTTCCTGCTCTGGATCGCTAACCAACCCTCCCCTTCCTTCCTCCTCCTCCTTTCCTCTAGTGCCTTCTTACCCATTTTTAGCTGCTGGGATCCCACTTGTCCTCCTCTCCTGACATCTGTCTCAGCCATCTCCATAAGGAGGGAGTCCCCCGCCCAGAAGACCTGCGGGCTGCTCCGGGCCTTGCCAGCCTGTGTCTCTGCTGTGGGAATGAGGCCAAACCCTCTTCAGGGCACTCACTCCACTCTCAGACCATCGGCCTGCAGGAGGGAGATGCTCAGATGCTTGGGTGCTCGGGGCTGCTCTAGCTTGAGGGCTTTGTCAGCCGGAAGTCCCCGAGTGTGCCACGGTGAGAGCTCTGGTGTGCAGGAGAAGGAAGCCTCTTCTGGCTAAGAAGCGAACCGGACAGCCTGAAGCAGCCTCGTTACCCAGCGGGCCACAGCTGAGGCCCAGCTCTTGGGAAGTTATTTCTAGCCACCTCCAGGTGTCTTGAGGCAGGGCAGGGCTAGCCCCAGTGAGGTGGTGGCAGTACTTGCGGACACACCCAGGTCCCCATGGAAACACCTCCTCCCCCATCTACTCTCTCTAGCTGAGCCTAGTGCCAGACGGGGCAGATGCCCATGGCCTATGCCACAGCGGTGATAGGATAGACAGGGGGATATGGTCACAGGGTCCAGCAGAACAAGAGGGTAGAAGAACTTGTGACGAAGAAGGGCACAGAGCATTTTCAACATCTTGCTCCACTAGGACAGCCACCATCTTCCCATACCAGACCAGATCACCAGTGTTTTGGGCACATGAAAATCACACACACGCTCTCTCTCTCTCTCTCTCTCTCTCTCTCTCTCTCTCTCTCTCTCTCTCTCTCTCTCTCTCTCTCCCTCTCTCCCTCTCTCCCTCTCTCCCCCTCTCTCTCTCTCTCACTCATATACTCACTCATACACTCACACTTCATTCCCCAACATCACGACACCATTTTACACCCATTTCTCCATGTGGTTAATTTTTTTTTTTTAGTTCTCATTTTTTCTAAGAAAAAAGCAACAAGAAAATAATTCAGAGTTTATACAAAACATCTTTACATTATTTTTTTTCCAAAAAAGACTAGTATTTACACAAATGGCAACAGAAACAAAAACAAAAAAAACCTTTCGACTGCCACCTGGAAGGGGCTGGCTGTTCCGCTCCCTCTCCCACCTGGCAGTGGGGTGGGCACCTGGCCAGGAGGCAGTGTGGAAGTGGATGGTGGGAGGCCCAGCTCCTTCCATGGCCACTCTGGGAGTGCCTGCAAGGCGCTTGCTAGTGGCAGTCTGTTAGCAGCCGTGCTGGCAAGGAGCCGGGGTCAAAGTGCACGGCGTGCTGGCCCAGCCCTAGGCAAGCCTCTTCCTCTTTTCAAGCCCCAGCCCAAGATTGGGGGGCTAGCGGGAGCTGGGTTAGGGGGGCACCCACCCGAGCTAGAGCCCAGAAAAGAAGCAGGCTACCTGGCCTTATACCCGCTTAGTTCTCCGCCCTGGGCCTCTGTTTCCCCACCAGGCCGAAGGGTGCCAAAGGTGAGGGGAGAACAGGGCAGAGCGGAGAAGGGGGAACTCCCAGCTCTGCAGGGCAAATAGCCACCTGGGCACCTCACCTCCCTCCACCCCCCATGAGGTCATCTGCCTGCAGCAGCTCTCCTGTTCCCCAGGCAACAGCCAATTAAGACATTAATAACCGTGAGAGTGAGGGAGGCAGGATATGCCCAAGTATCCCACAGGAAGTTGTTTTTTTTTTTTTTTTTTTTTTTTTTTTTTTGGTGGAAGGGTGGCAGCCACTACCCCATTGCCAAGATCAGCACTGCAGAAGGAGAGTCAGTGGGGGAGGGTGAGACACCTTGCCCAATGGCACTCTTGTCTTCCCTCGTGGGCAAGAACAGCCCTGGCCTGTCCCCTCCCCACAAAAAATACGCCAACAAGTTTATAAAAGAAATGCCATCCTATGCTTCCCGGCTGGCCACATCCTGCCCCAGGCCCCTGATACTGCGGAAGGCTGGGCTCAGAAAACCTGGGGAGGGGCTGTCTTTTCCATTTTTCCATTTTTCTTAAAAAAAAAAAAAAAGAGAACAGATGAAAATGAGTTGACAGCGAAAAAAATGAACACAGAAACATTAAAAACAGTGATGATAGCGGACAAGAAGTCCTGGGAAGGGAGAAAGGGGGCGAGGGGGCACAGGGCCAGGGGGGGCGTCTCCCTGCCTGCTGTCCATCAGCGTCCGACCCTGCCCTCCAAGAAGGGGTGCCCCCGCAGAGCCCAAAGGCCTGGCCAGAGGGGGAAGGCACAAGAGCATGGGGGCTGGGGGCACAAGCACCCCCCTCTGAAGCCCAGGGGGCGGGGCAAAAGGGGGATTATAAAAGCCAAGAAACTACAAAACTAAATACAAAGATGGGCACAGCTGGCAAGGGGAGGGACGTGGGTGAGGATGGAGAGGTGCAGTCCCGGCCGACTGTCCCTCGGGGCCGAGGCTGCCAGGGCCCTCAGACCTTGTAGTAGATGTTCGCGGGGCTCTGGGGCGGCATCTCCTGGACGATGTAGACAGGGTGCCCGTAGTCCCCACTCACCTTCTCATAGTGGGGGCAGTAGTTGTTCTCTGTAGTCCGTAAGGGGATGATGATGTCGCTGGGCTCGGTGCCCGCCGTGCCACTGCCCCCCTTAGGACTGGCCAGGGTGCTGAGCGAGAGGGCAGGCGCCCGCTGTTGCGTGTGCTTGCGGTGCCGCTTGCGCAGCTTCAGCAGCAGGACGGTCAGAAAGATGATGATGAGCAGGAAGATGACGCAGCCGGCGCCCACGGCCGCAAACAACGCCACCTTGGAGTTGAAGAAGCTGTCGGGGTCCCCGCTGCTGCCTCCACTCCCACCGGAGCCACTTTTCTCATCCTGGTTCACAGTCTCTGTGGACGGCGGAGGGAGGGAGGGAAGGGAGGGGAAGAAGCTCAGCCAGGGGTCCCAGGGACACATGGCAGAGCTCGGGCCACGCCCTGCCTTCCTTCAGAGCTAGGGCCTGAAAGGGCAGCCGAGCAATGGCTTCTGCCCTCTGGGAGACTCCCATACGCTCACCGTGCTTGCCGTCAGAGTCACCCAGGGAGCCCCGACCACCGGGGGCCTGTGTAGCCATCTTGATAGTGTTGCCTGCCTCCTTGCTGGGCCGGCTGGTAGTCAGCTGCTCGGGCGTCACAGCATTGGGGTCTGGGGGTGGGGAGAGAACAAGTGAAGGGGGAACTCCAGCAGCATAGGTGCCTCAGTTACATGGCACCCACCGGCCAAGAATGGCCCGGATACTGGACCTCAGATCCCCTATCCCTACTGCCCCCTCTGCCACTGCTCCCCATGCCACCACCCCCCGCCACCCAGTGAGGAGCATCTGTCGCAAAAGCCTAGCTGAGGAGCCCTCGGCCTGGGCGCTCACCTTGCCCAACCTTCATGACGATCTTCATGGTGCGTGTGCGGCACACACCTCCCTCCCGGTTCTCCAGTCCCTCCAGGCTCCCATTGGATGTAGCTGCAGCAAGAGGCCAGAGCAGTCAGGAGGAGGAAGAGGTCTGCCAGCATTACCCAGAAGCCCTAGTGATGTCTAAGCCCTTAAGAATAGAACTGGGAACCAGGGAGTTGCAAGCAGCTCCCACCCACCCGTGAACCTTTCTACTTCTCTCCTCCCACTAGGAACAGAGTGCAGGAACTAGCCCCTCCCACGAGGATGCTGCTCCCCTATCATGACCAAGGCCAAAGGCCCTTCTTTCTCAGCGGAAGCTACACGTGTCTCCTCATTGGGTGACGTTGCTCAGAGGCCAAGCAATTAGAACTGGCATGGTGAGGAAGACTTCTCCACAGACTAGAAGGAGTCCTAGATTAGGTGTCAGGAGAGCTGGGTTGGAAACCCAACCCGCTCCCTAACTCTCTGTGTGATCTAGGGCAAGAAGCCCCTTCACCTCTTGGGGCCTCAGTTTCCCATGAAGAGAAAGGCTGAAGCTCTGCCAATTCTGCCATTCCCAAGGTTAGATCTTAGGTGGGCAAAGAAAATAAGAGAGAGAGCACCGCGGATCAGAGTCCTCTCCCACCCAACTCCCAGAGCCAGGGCGAGCTGGCAGCAGAGGCCCCTTGGTAAAGGCTGGGGCCAGAATTCCAAGGCCACACTACGAGGAGAGCACGCCACTCTTCAAAGGGGACTGGATCAGGCTGGGCCTGAACTGTGTGCAGTCTCAATGCACTACTCAAAAGTTCCCACTGCTACAGGACAGGAAAGAACCATGTGGTGGGCAGGGACTCACAGGTAATATAGTAATCGTGGTGCTTCTTGAACTCCAGGCCCATGTAGTTGGGGCTGAACTCCTGGAACTTGATGGTGAAACGGATTTCCTGCTCTGGCCTATTGCAGGTGACCAGCACGTTGGGGTCGAGCACGGTGCTGCAGGCAGCTGCCTGCTCAGGCCGCACCAGGTACAGCTTGTAGTACTCATAGGGCCGCCCAGCTTCTGCTCGGGGGCAGATGATGTCCAGCTTGTCTCCAATCTTCGGGTAGATCACCAGGCCCTTCCCACTGAGGAACCTGCCCAAGAGGGAAGAGATGGTTAGCCTCGGGGTTGGGGGTCTCAGGCCATCCCCAGAACCAGGGGAGCAGACGATGAGGGCCAGGCTGGGCACACTGGGTGGAGATGGCGAGGACAGGCATTCTGTCCTTTTTCCATCCTTATGCTGGGGGTGGGGAAAGAGAACCATGCTGCCAGCAGGGTGTGGAAGGGGTGGCCCATGGGCAAGGCTGCCAGGCTTTGACTGCTCCGCAGGGTGGGGCACTGCCTAGCTGGGGGAGCCCTTTGTCCTAATGTGGCATTTCCGCAGGGGGGCTGACGTGGCAGATGGGCTGGGCACCTAGATGTCAGGCTTGGGTTGCCTGGATGTGGCAGCCCTGTCCTCCTCGCACCCCCAACACACTCACGTTCCTTCACAGCCTCTGCTACCGGCCCTCCAGCACACACGTGTGTATACGCGCTCATGCGCCCAGACACACACAAAGAAGCACACACACAATGAGCCCTAGAAACCACCCCCACAGCTCCCAGCCAACGGCTGGGGATGCACAACCTATCTTGGCCCCATGCCTTCTCCCCCATCCTTGCTAATCTTGGGCATGATGGGGAGATAGGAACAGGCCTTGCCTAGAGCCAAGGGATAATGGGCACAGTCTCCAGCCAGGTACAGCTCCACACAGCTCTCTCCACTCCCCACTCCCACTGCCTGGCATCCTACCAGGACTCATCCCACCCCCATAATGCAAAAGCCTGAATCCCCAAATCTGGCCAGTCTCACTGCAAAGGATAACAGAGAAAGGGGAGAAGAGGCCTGAGCAGGAACAACGGATCATATAAGACAGAACCCCAGGAACCTCACTCATCTGCCTTCTAATCCACTCCCACCACATAAACACACACACACACACACACACACACACACACACACACACACAGCCTCTGCTCCCCATCCTGAGAGGAGATGGACAAATGCCTCCCGAGCCAGGTTCATCTTCTAATCCAGAAGGCCAGGCACTGGGAAATAGCAGGGGGAGGGCAGCTGCCTGGGGCCACCGATTCATATCATCCTGTCCTTGCCTAAGCGCAGTAAGCGCTCTCGGCCATTTCTGAGCCTGGGAGCAAGTCAGTACAATGTAGGAGAAAGAAGACAGACTTTGGAATCAGATGGATGGTGGCCCTCACTAGCTCTGTGACCTTGGATGAGCTGCCTGATCTCCCTATCTTTCAGTGTCCTCACTTATAAACTGGGGGTGGGAAGAGCCCCTCCTCCAAGGATGGTGGAGGGGAGGCATGATGGCATGGATAGAGCACGTAGTTGGCACTCAACCGTGATCCCTGCTTAGAAATAGCGTGGTCTGCCAAGAGGCAGGAGGCCAGACACTAACACCAAGGACCTATGAGCCCAGTCTTGTTTCTTGGGTGGGAAAGAGGAAAAGATGATACAGCTCCATCCTCAAGGACTTTACTGTCTGGTGTGGTTCAGAAAAGTAAGTGGCCCATGCCACAGCAATGGATAGCACCAGGCTATCTGGAGGCTATGTGAGAGGATGGTGGCTCACAAGGCAAGGGCTGGAGGCAGAGAGAGGAAGAAGACAGCTCATCTGATAGGACAGTCAGAAATGGCCCCACAGAAAGAGTGGGATGAAAGTGGATTCTGGGGGAGGAATAAGAAGTCAACATCCAGCAAGAGCAGACAGCAGTGGTTGGGACAAAAAACCCAGGCCAGTGACTGGCCCAGTGATGGGTAGAGAGGAGCAGAAGAAGAGGGGGTAAAGCTCAGCTGGGGCCAGACTGAAAGGCCAGGGTCCCAACAAGCAGTGTGGGTTTCATCCAGTGGGGGACAGACTCTCTAGCAGAAAGGACAATGAAGGGCCGAAGGCGGTGCTTCAAGGGAATGAAGCTAACGGTGGAAGAACATGGTTCTACTCCCTGAGGGCCCATTCCACAGTGGGGGCTACAAGGCACAAGGGCCTTCTGGGAGCTCAGTATCCTCACCGGATGGAGGGAAATGATACCCAAGGAGGTGACTAAGGGAACTAGACCAAGTAGATGGAGTGGATGAAGAACAGCAGCCCTCTCTCCACGTCCAGGGAAGCTCCACTAAGCTGGGACCTGCCATCCTTCTGTGCAGGAGGGTAAAAGCAACAACAAGGAGGTCTCACCTGCCTTAGTACCTAGCTTTTACCACACTCCAGAAGGCCAGAAAGGAAGCAGGCATGGGATGGAGGCCCACACAAACATTTGAGAGAAAACACCCCCAACTCCACGCGCTACAGAAAGCCAAGAAGTTTCACCAAAGCCTCTATAATTCCTAAGGCATTTTTCACTTTCCAATCTTCATACTGGTTCCATCCAGGCAGTCGGATTAGACAACTTCTAACATCTTAGAGATGGAAGGAACCTTCGAGACCTACTGAGTCCAGGCTCCTCATGTGAGGGAATGAGTAACCAGGTGAATGTTCCTGTTGAAGAGGGGTGCTCAAAGCCAACCCGAGGAGCCTAAACTCACCCAGGATGTTAACTCCTAGGGGTCTAAGAGTACCTTAAACATTGGCTGAATCCTTATAGAGCTGCACCTCCATAAGACCGTAACTGGAGATGACAGCAGGTAGAGGGCACGCAAAGGGGTACAGGCCAGCTCACTTTTCTAACCACTTGGCCCGCCTTACTCACCAGGGAGTCTTGTCTACCCTGAGCAGTCTCCCATCACCATTCAGGTTCTGGAGCCCTGGAACCCAGAGACAACTGAGGAAACAGATGTCTACATAGTGGGTGGGGGAGGGGGAGGAGAGAGGACTATTGCCCCCAACACCCCTCAGACTCCCGTCAACCTCAGTGAACAGAACTCATAAATATTCATGAGTTCATTTGCATAGCAGCTGGCAGAGGGAAACTCACCTTCCCCTAAAGTGCAGAAGGGAGAGGAGCCTGATGAGACCCACCTTCCCTGACCCTGGTCCCCCATGATGGTACCTTCTCAGCTTCTTCCCCACCACTGAGAAAAGTGCCTCTGGGCCTGTGAGAAGCCCCAGAAAGTGGTGAGGGGCCACGAGGTGTGGGTATGCAGCCCGTGAGAGTGAAGCCCAAGGTCAGTATGACGCTAGTCATCCTGTACAGCGGGGACCCTGCTGGTCTCCCCTCGTACCCACCAGGTTAGGAGTAGGGGCCGACAGGAGGAGGAATAGAGTACCTAGTTAAACTCTTTACCCCCCAGTTTTCAAAAACTACTACTCCCCCCATTATCAAACCAAGCTTTCCTGCCTGGGGCCACCCCCAGACAAAGCCCTTTTCTGGAAAATAAGGGGATTGACATGGCCCAGCAGGAAGCCTGCAGCAGGTCGCCATGGTAACCCCTGAGGCCTTCCCTCCTTAGCCTCTGATAGCTCCTGGGACCCCAGGGAGCCACCCCAGGGAGTAAAAGGACTTAGGGGAGGCAGCCTGCCATTCAGTCTCCTGTCTGTGGCCTGCCTCTTCCCCTCTACCCTAGCCCAAGTCTCTCCCCCAGCCTGCCTACTGAGCTTAGAAGTCTCACCATGACTGCTGAAAAGAATCCTGGGAGAGAAGAAGCCTGAGGGTCTGGGGTAGTGGCCAGTGCTGGTCAGAGGCCAACTGCCCCCCCCCCCCGCGCTTCTTTGCCCAGTTAAGCCCCTATCCACCCATACACAGACAATCTATAGCAGAGAGAGTTTGGAGCTATGGGGGTCATGCCTAGAAAGCTGCCCACGTTCCACCACACTTCCTTCCCTCTCATCCTTCCCTCAGGCTCTAGGGACTTGTGGTCAGAGAGTGGCCAAAGGGAGAGCCTGGTCCTAGGCCATGCCAGCCCAGGTTTGGTAGAAGACTCTAGCCACAGCTTTGATTCAGTGACTCCGGCACCACTGCGCCTGCACCCCAGGGTGGCAGGACCAGCGGAGGACAGAACCCAAGCTGGAGCTCAAGTGTGCTCTCACCCCAGCAAGGGTGGGGAGACCCCAAATTAAAGGCTCCTCTTTCACTCCCCCAGCTCCACCCAGCCCCCGAGGCAGCAGGAGCAGGCCTGGCATGTCCCAGCAGTGCCCGCCCAGGCGTGGGTGGGCAGGAACAGCAGCTGGGTCCTGGCACACACACAGCACTGTCGGAGGCAGGGAAGCCAGGAGAGCCCCAGAGGAAGTCCCCCCCCGCCACCTACACTGAACTATGCCTCCCCTCTGCCCCACCTGGCCAATGCTAGGGCCCACTGAGGGCTTAACAGCCCCTTCCTTGTTGTCTGCTTTCTGTGGGGTCCCTGAGAGGCAGTGAGATTCCTGGCCCAGAGAGGAACCAAGGCTGCTATTCAGGGCCCGGGAGGGAGAGTGCCAGGCATCGAGCTGGCTGCCTCTAGATCAGGTCACCCAGAGCAAGCTGCCCTCAGACGTAGGCCTAGCAAAATCAAATGAGGAAGCTGGAGCACTGCTCATCCCACGTGGGCAGGGCCTGAGTCACAAGGACAGATGCACACACACCTGTGAGGTGAGAGCGAAAGCCGGGGGCAAAAGCCAGCGCCTCCTCCGAAACCCAGTCTCTCCCAGATTCCAAGGCAGTGGGATGGTGTGGAAAGAATGGCACAAGGCACAGCTCTCCCCACTACGAGCTGACTGACTTTAAACAAGTCATTTTCCTTTTCTGAGCAAATGCCTCCTCATCTGGAAAATGGGCAATTCCAACTTCCCAGGGCTGTTGGGAACATCCAATGAGTTCATATCTGAGAATGCTTTGGAGGTAGCAAGGTACTGCCCAGCTGTTAGCACACCAAGCATAGTACCCTTTAGAAGAAGCTGAACGAGCTTACTACACTCCTGGCTGCTAGCACCGCCACCCAAAACCACCACAATGAAAGCCCACCCAGGAGGGGCTGCTACAGAGCCCAGGGCAAGGAACCCAGAATATGGCTGGCGAGCATCCCCTTACCTCAGCTCCCCTAATAATCACAGGGTGGACCCTCCCCCCAAACCTACTGTTCCCATGGCAACCAGCGGCCTCCTGGCTGGCCCACCCACTCCATACTCCCAACACCAGAAAACAGTGATGCACAGTAGTATCCAGGGCCCACTCATCCCCATCCATCATAGTTGGTGAGGGAGTGGAGAGCCTGAGGGGAGAAAGGGAACCCTGGATTCAGCCTCCAGTCCAGCCTCACCAGGCCCTTCTTGCCCCAGGTCTGGCTGCCTGGGGTTGGGGGAGGGGGGGAGGGGAACAGGGAACTTTAGAGGAGCTGCTGGCTTCCCATCGCTTTCAGGCCCCCACCTGTGGCCAATCAGCCACAGAGTAGAAGAGGTCAGGTCCCTAGCCACCCCGGAAAGGGGCCCCCTGAGCTGGCCTCCCCAGGACTGTGAGCTGGAACAGCTGTGAGGGGGCTGGGACCTACACTTCGGCTTGTAGCAGGCAAGCCTGGGTTGGGGTCTGCAGCTGCCCCCACCCATGCTGGATGGAGTCAAGGGTCCTGGATGCCAAGCTGAAGCCCCCACCCCCGCCCCTTGCAGGGAAGGTGTAATATGATCTCAAGCACATTCCCACTCTCTGGAGGTGGAGGAACCTGAGTGGGGGGCAGGAAGGGGTCAGAATGGGACTGAGAGACTGAACTGCAGCAGCTGGACTTGGCTGAGGACTCAAGTATGAGGCCTGCCGGCTGCCCCAAGTTCTCAGGGGAGGAGGCTGGAGGAGGGGTCTGCCCTGGGACCTTCCATCACAGCCCCCCCACCCCACACAAGCATGCCCATGTACTCTGGTTCCTCCCAACCTCTAACGGGCCCAGACCCACCTTCCCACCCTACACTTATCGGGCAAATCTGACAAGGGGCCAAGCTCTTGCCACCCAGGGACTACCACCCTGGAAGGCCACAGCACCAATTTGGGAAAGAGGCTGGGAGTCTGGAGTCAGCCCTTCCGGCTCCCCTCTCCCGGTCAGGGCTGGGGCTGCCCGTATCCTGGAACCTGGAAACATACCCCCAGCCCCACCACTTCTTTATTTTGATTTTTTACCAAGGAGGAAGCAATTAAGCGGGGTTTATAGGCGCTGGGAGATTTTGGGGGGGGGTTGCCAGCTCCTGACAGGACTGAGGCGAGAGACCAAAAGCTGGGAGGAAGAGGGGAGGGAAGAGAGAAAATGAGCCTGTGAGGGAGAGCACGGGCATGTGCGAGAAACAAAAGGACTCGAGAAAAAGAGGCAGAGAGTGACTAAGAGTGAGAGGGAGTGTGAGAAAGAGGGAGAGCGGGCAAGCAGAGCTGGAGAGGGGAGGTGAACGCGGCTCACACAGGATGTGACAGGGCGAACCGAAAAGGGCCTGAGAGGGAGAAGTCAGGCAGGAGGAAAAGAGGGAGAGACGGACAGGAAGAGACCGTTGATTTGAAAGGCTGTGGCAGTCCCAGGCTTGGGCGCAGTGGCAGAGACAGCCTCCCCGAGCTCAGAGTGAAGCTGAGGGCAGTGCCTTCCTCCTGTCCTCCTGCCCCCCCCCCAAACCCGTGCCAACACACACAGACAGGCTGCATTCCAGACCCCTGAGCATAGATGGAACTCTGGAGGGGGTGCTGCGCGCAGGGGCACCAGTATCAGTCCCCCACCATTCCCAGGATCTGCTCAATTACAGGATGGAATTCGTGCAAGTCCTATTGAGGCCTCAGCCACCACTCCCACAACCCCCAGGATGCCTACCCTCAGCCTGAAGTGGATCGGGGAATGGGGCAGATCTCAAAAACCTGCAAACCGTTCCAGAGCACTCAGGCCTCAAGACAAAAAAAGGGTGAAGCTCAGGGAGATCTTGTTTCTCCCAGCCACCCCCCCACCTCACTCTGCAGGAGGGCTCCTTTCCAGCTGTGGAGCTGCCTGCTATCTCTGGTTAGAGACCCGAGAGAGCAATTAGGTCACTCCCATGAGCCCCTATGATGGGCTACCCCAGGCTGATTTCAGCTCTCCTGGCTCAAGAGAGAGCATTTCCAGCCTCCACCTTTACAGGAGGGAACTGGGCACTTCACAGCCTTTCTCCTTGGTCTGAGCAGCCCGAGGCCCCCAGACCATTTTGAGTCCCTGCTGTTAGGAGAGCACTGGGCCCAGTTTGGCTTCTGGGTTAAGGAAAAATCGTTGTCAATCCCTTTCCTTGTACCCTGACCCTGGTTAGACATCCCACTAACCAATAAATAGGACCGTACCTTAACCTAAGGAGAAGAGAACTAAAGAAGCCGCCCTCTCCCACTCCAGGGCTGAGAGGTGCATGACCCCTGGAACCTAAGAGGTCAAGACAGGCAGGAGCTCGGGAAGTTAGCGGGGAGCCCATAAGAGTGGACAGGAAGAGATTCCAGATACAGGAATCATAGAGCACAGAGGGCAGGCCAAGGGCCCCCAGTTTCCCACTAAGTGGGGTGTCCGCACACTGCTGGGACCTCCAGAAAACAAGAAGGAAGAGCAATTTTGACCCTGGGTTCCAACCTGAGTCCTGGATGCCAAAAGAGAAAAAGGTCCAGAGGCCACTACACAATCCAGCGACTCCCCACTAACAGCCCAGAAACCACTGAGCCACCGCCCTGAAAGGTGTGTGTGTTGTTGGGAGGTGGGGGAGGATTGTGAAGGGTAAGGAGGAGGGAGAAAAGAAAGGATCTCCTCTACATAGCTGCCTCCCCAACCCCTTTGGGAAAGCTAAGCACAACTCCCCAATCTGAGGACAGAAGGTGGGGGGGGGGCAGTGGGACCCGCCTGGGCAGGAATCCTTTGCTTGCCACCCACTTCCCTAGCCACCTCGGCCGCCACTCTCCACCCCGGCCAGCCCTGGAAGCTCTGCCGCCGGCTCCATTGGACCCCCGACGAGCGCTGGATCGACACCACCCCCCCCAACAAAACCTCTCTCCCACTCCGCCCCTCTCCACCCGCCGCCTTTGTGAGCCTGGGAGCGGCGCCCGCCCTTCCACGGACCCAGCAGGGAGAAAGTCGGGGGGGAGGGAGGCTAGAAGAGACGGCAAAGCGAAAAGCTAGGGAAGCAAACTGGGAAGAAAGAGAAATGAAAATGAGAGAAGCCCGAATGGAGATACAGGCACTGCCACCCGCCGCAAGCGCGAAGTCCCACGCCACGGTCCCTTCACAGCTAAACAAACGGGGAACCTGTGTTCCGGCCTCTTCCCCCGCCCAGGTCAAGCTCGCCCACCCCCCGCCCCCAGCGGCTCTTGGCGAAAACCGCCACGTTCCCAGGGGCCCCAGAGGGGGCTGCTTTCTCTCCCCGACCCAGCTCTCCCGTGCGCTCAGAGGCGCTCAGACTCCCAGCTCCGCCCGGCGCGACCACCTCGACTTGATCCGGGACGTGCGGAGGAGAGGGCCGGGAAGCTGAGGGGTCACAACCCAGCCAAGTGCCCCCACCCAACCCCACCGCACCCTTCCCCGCCCGGCCGCAGGGAAACACACTCGAAAAAGCCATAGACAAAATGGGGCGCCGCTCCTCCTCCGAACACCCTCCCACAGGCGCTCGGGGGCGCGCGGCCTCACCCCGAAGGAGTGCCTCCCACCCCCAGGGACCAGAGCAGATAAGTTACTCACTTGGGGTTGAGGGAGCTCCAGGACACGGGCTCTAGATTCTTGGCCAGCGGGGTGGCGAGCCGGCACAGCGCCAACACGACCATCGCCACAAGCCACTTGCCGAGCCAACGCTGGCCAGGCCGGGCCATCTTCCCTGGGGCAGGCTGCACTTCGGGATGCCCTGGCGCCTCCTCAGCAAAGCTGGCCTCGCCTTCCCGTGCCGCGCTGCGCTCCGAGAAGCTCAGGCGCCCATCCTCCGCAGCCGCCGGCCTTGAAGTGCTCCCCTCCCGCCGGCTTCGGTGTCGCTCTTCTCCGCCCCGCCGGCCAGGAGGACTCACTGGGCAGCCGCCCCCAACCCGAGCATGAGCTGTGGCCTCCGAGGGCTCGCTCCACTGGCCTCTCCGCCGCACGAAGCACGACGGGGGCTCTGCGCCCCCGGGTGATCCCGTCCGATTCCGCTCGGCTCCCCGAGACTGTTTGGGACTGTGCGACCTCTCCCCGACGGGGTCTCACCGCTGGGGACTCGGTGGCCGCCCGGACGCCTCGACCGCCCCGGGATCGGCACCCCTGGGAAGAAGTGGGAGTCTCCCCACCACACGAGCTCGGCCTGGGGGCTCCCGACCGGGCCGCCCTAGCACGGGCTCCGTTCTTCCAGGCCACACTGGGACTCCGGGCTGCGCGCCCCCCGACAGCTTCGACTTCAGCGCGGGGCCCGCTCAGTGTACTTAGAAGAGCGCGGAGACACTGCCGAGCGAGCTAGTCCCATCAGTTTGCGCCTCTGGAGCCTAGGCCGGGTGGCCCGGCAGCCCAGTCGCCGAGTCCTAGCTCCCTGGCGATTGCGCCCGAGGCTCTACGGTCAGTGCGAGGCTCACACACCTCCCGCTGCTGACCAGCGCGCATACACTCCCTCCGCCGCCGCTGAGCTGTCTACTCCCCTGCTCAGGCGTACGCAAGGCCAACCCTACGCATCTTAGCCAATAGCAAGCTCCGTCACGGGGTCCTTGCCCTGCACCCCGCCCCCAGAACAGGAAGGAGGCGGGGTTTTAGGGAGCTCTTAAGGACGCCGCGCTCTCGATGGCACCAATCTGAGTGTGCGGCTCCTGCGGTTGTGGATGGGTCCTGCTTAGTCCTGTTCCCAGAGCGCTCAGCCCGTGGGAAGTTGGCGCTCCTCTAGAGCTCTCGGCCTGCTCTCCTCCCCGAGCGCCTGGTCGACACACCGGCCCACTGACCTGGGCCAAACAGGCTCAGTACTTTTCCCGGGAAAGTACTACCATTCTTTTTGTTACACACGCGAGCCCTGAAGTCCTTGCTCGGTGCCCACCTCCGTGACAAGGATAGCTTGTTTACTCCTGGTCCCATCTCACATAGGGCTCTGGTGGGCTTTCCTCCTTCCGCCCTCGCCGTGCAGTGTCCGCTTGCACATGGACCCGGACCCGGAGTCCTGAACAAACGGATAGCGGTGGGCGGTGGAGTCTCAGAAGGGTCAAGTACGGGAAAGTTGGGAAGATGAGTTCTTCGCCCCTGGGGAGCAGGCCTTGGGAATCTCAACTTTGGGGAAGAGACTTGTGGGACACCAGGGGCCCAGATTTCGAGTCTTGTCCTGTCCGAAGGCGCGGGCAAGGCCCTGGGATAGGCCAGTGGGGATGAGAGGGCACCTCGATAAAGAAAGACGCCTCGAGGGCAAAGAGGAAAGGGCGTAGGGCAGAGGAGCCTTTCGAAAAAGCAAAAGTTGGCGCCCTGGTCCCAAGACGCCGGACTCCAGCACCTCCCGGCCTCGCCATCTGGGTCTTTGTCTCCCAGCCCCTTCTCCCCGCCCCTCCTTGCTTCCTTGCTTATAACTTTGGCTCCAGCCCATAGCTCAGACCCTCCCGGTCCGGCCCGCTCTCCCCAGTTGGACCTCAGCAGATGTACCCACGTGCTACTGTCTCCCCCTACTGGTCTCCTATAGCACCGCGGGTGCCTGGGACGGACTGAGAGCGCCCACTCCAACGGGAGCGTGGCACACACGAGCCTGGCACACGCGCTCGAGCACAAGACCCGGGACAGGGGTGGTGACCTTGGCTAGAACCGCGACCCGGTATGGGGAGGAGGAGGGAGCACTAGGAGTAAGATCTGGGTTTGGGGTTGGCTCGGCGACTGCCGAGGACATAAAGTCTCCTTGCTGCTTCTTCATGGAGATAATTAGGTGAGCGACATTCCCAAAGTGCTCGCCATTTACACAGTTTCCTGTCCTTCTCTCACTTAAGTAGGAGGCTGATCTACTGAGTTCCTCACCGGATCCTCTGATGATCTCTTTGGTTCAATAGAGTGGACCTCTATTTGGGGGGAAATAAAGAGGGAGAAGTGTGTTCCTCCCACTTTCAGGGACAGAGCCTGGAGGATGAGAAGGATCTGTGTAGAAAGAGAAGAAGAGGAGCTGTTTAGGGTCTCTCAGCTCCCAGCTGGACCCCTTATTGGGGTGTGAGCAAGGAGAGACAAGAACAAGGTGCAGGGACACACCAATGGTCCAGCTTGGAGACTAGGATTGCCCGAAGTGCATGGCAGGACAGCAAAACCTGAGAATGGAAAACAGCCTGCCACTTACTGAGTGCCTACTATGTGCCAGGAACCATGGTAGAGGCATTTCCCTTCACAATCCTTTGAGATGAGTTCCACAATCCCTATTTTATGTAAGAGGGAAAACTAAGGCTCAGGGGGAAGTGACTCATCTGAGGTCATGGAGCTGATCGGTGGTAGAAGCGGGATTTGGCCCCAGACTTCTCTGTCTCCTAAGCCTGTGCCCAGTTCCCTATACCATACTGACTCGCCACATTTCCAGCACCTTCTTGCTTACCTGCTTACTTAATTCAGTCCTGGTTAAAAGCTCGTTCATGCCTGGAAAGCAGCAACCTTCAGGACGGCCAGGACTCCACTCTACACTCACAGTCCTCTGAGAGGTTTCTAGGCCTAGGAAAGTTCATCTGTGTCCCTGGCCATGCCCCCAAGTTCCCAGCTAGAGTCGCCACCACCAATCCCAGAATCAGCCTCAGATTCCACTGCCAACATGTCCAGTGCCCCTCGGGAGGTGAGCCCAAGACCAGGTGGGAAATGGGGCAGATGAAGCTATGCTGTCAGACTTGGGAAGCCTGGGAAGACAGCAGCAGCTCCTGAGTGTGCCAACGCCTCATCCTGGGTGGGGAGGGCACAGAGGAAAGAAGAGAGGACTCTGTGTCTAGGCCTGCCCCACAAGCTGGTCACCCCTGGTCACGACATAGCCTTTCTGCCTCAACCTGCCTACCGGAGCCTCAGTAGCAGGGCTGGGCCTACTCCCTGCTGCAGCCAGGGCCAATGACTCCAGGCTCCCCCCTCCTGCCCCACCCTAGCAGGGCTTCTGATGTAGTGATTCATGCCCCTGAGGTAGGGAAAAATTACTCCTCAGGGAAGCCAGAGAGGAAGTCAGGATCTGTGGGGGATGCTGACCCTCTCTTATCCAAGCTCTCCCTATTCCAGTGGCAGTCACACCCCTCCCCAAGCCTCCCAGATCAGTGTCACCGAACACACACATCCCTCAGGGTTCAAGTCCACCAGTGTTTCCTGAGCACTGACCCTGTGCTTGCCTCTGAGCTGGGATCCAAAGAGGAGCCCACCAAGCCCTGCCTTCGAGGAGCTCCAAGCAGATGGAAATCAGTATGTGGGGGCCTCCTGGACCCAGGGATGCAGGACAACATCTAGCAGCTGCGGGAGGCCTCAGGTACCATAACAGCCCCCGGAGAGCTCAGCTTCCCACACCAATGGGAGGCAGGGGGAGTACGAACTTCAGAGCCGTGGAGTTCACTGCTTATCAGTTGTGTCTCTTTGGGCAAGTCGCTTCCCCTGTGTGCTTCAGTTAACTCTTCTGTAACCTGAAGATCATCTCTTCTTCACGGAGCTGTGCTGAGCGGGGAGTGAGATAATGCACAGAAAGGGCTTAGCTTCATGGCTGGCCCACCACGGTGCTTACTAAATGGAAACTATTATACCTCCGCAGAGCCTCCCACAGAGACATCCTCATTCCCGGTCACACATGTTCTCACCCGTTCACACATGCTTTGTGTGCCATGCACACATTTTTTAGCTCCTCTCGTTTTCTCACACGTGTACATATTCATACATGAACTTGCCGTCTTCCTCCCCTATCAGTTCACGCAGCACCAGCTCACAGGCTTGGTTCCTGCCTTCACGGGACATGGAGCATAGTCCCCACATTTCCTCAAGTCACTGTCCTGCTCACATGCATGAACATTCACACCCCCTCTCTATTACTGTGGCCCTTGTCCTTGACCTCTCCTTGCCTGCCTTGCACTCTCAGATAAGAGAAGTGAACTCCCTCACCTAAGGCCACACAGCCAGGAAGCAGAAGAGTCAGGATTCAAACCTGGGCCATTGAGCTGCACGACTTGAGCTTCTACACATGACTCTACTCGGACACCCCAGGGCTCTGGAAAGGAATGTGTGCCAAAGGGTGGACCTTGCACACTGAGGGCAGGAAGCCTGCCCCAAGGCCCGGGGCGATGCCAGCTGGGACCACTCCACGAGGCTAGCAGCCCTCTCTCCTACCTACGATCATCTCTGGCCTGTCCTAAGCCTCCTGTCTGTCCCTTCGAAGACCCACAACCTCTGCCTGCATCCTCCTCACAGATACACACGACCACTCCCTACAGGGCAAGGGAGAGCCATGTTTCTTGAACAACTTCTGTATGCCAGGCACTGTAGCCAGGTACTCTCACCCTTGGTCCTATGCTATCTTTGCTTAATTCACATAACATCCCTGAGGTTGATATTTGATAGGCTTATTTTAGAGAAGAGGAAACTGAGGCTCCAGGCTCAATCTGCCTGCATCCCCTGCCCCCGCCAACCTCAGCCTGCAAAGTCCTCTCTTGCCCAGCCAGATTTGTCCCGCCACCCGCTTCTCTCCTGCTCTCCCTCTGCCTTCACTGCCCTCTAGCTGAGACCAGTTGGGGTCTGTGTTGAGCCCAGGCTGTCCTCCCTCCCCCACGAATACCTTGCTTTTCCCAAGTCACTCTGTCTCTGGGTCAGGCTCAGGACAAGCCCAGGGTGGGACCTGAGCCCTCCTACTCTTCCTCCCGCCTGCTGGCTGCACCACACCCCAGATCAAGCCCCAGGTGGGTAAGCCCTGCTAGTCTAGTTTCACTGCAGCCATGGAGATTCTCAGCGGCTGGGGGAAGAGGGGCTGGTCCCAAAGGCCAAGGGTTCAACCAAACGTTCAACCCCCCACCCCTCCCTTGTCCTTGCCCCAGCTTCATGCCTGGTTTATGGGTGTTTGCACTGACATCACCTTGATCTTCCAGGTGTCAGCCTGGCTCTGGGTCATGCTGTCGGCAGGATGACACCAGAGATAGGAGGAGCCCTTCTCTTCCTGAGATGGGCCTGCCCCGTCCCTCCCTCTCTCTTTATCCCCTCCTTATACCTCGTTACCCTTCCCTGGACTCCTAGAAATCTGTCCCAAGCCCATGGGCCCCACACAGGCAAATGGCCTCTGCCCCCGCTCCTCAAAAGAGCCTAGAACAGAGCATCTGAGGGCCAGTGCATGGCTCAGTGTGGCATAGCAGGTGGCAGAGGCTCTGGACTGCAGCTGGGACCCTCGGCTCCTTAGAGGCCTCATCTTTGGATACCCGTGCCCTCCTGTGTATCACTGGTCTGGGCTCAACTTCCTCTAGCAGCCCCTCCTGTTCGCACTCTCCAGCCCCGTGGGGGACAGCTATGGGGGAAAGCCTGCAGCACTCCAGCCCGGCCCACCTGCCACTCCCTCAACTCTGGTTACCTGGGGAATGTGCGAAGAGGGACTGGGCCATTCATCACTGTCAGGGGCTCAGGAATTCAGGGGTGGGGGGCAGCCGTTGTCACCACCTGTCGCTG